GTTCAATGGAAATTGATGGCTATAATGTTAATGCAAAATATGTTGGGGCAGGTGAACAACATCTTCCTGATTTTCCAAACATTAAATGGTATTCAGAACATGTGCGTTAGAGCCAATACTTGCTTCAAATTGTAAAATGTAGAAATACAGAATGCTGTCATCCAAGAAGTGGCCTATTTAGATTACAAGACAGTAGGTTTCTTCCACAACCTGTAAAAGTAAAACAAACAGTTGATGACTTGGTTTTGGATGAAGGAGGGCAATTTCTTAATCTTCCAGTCAATTTAGCTCTACGCTTAAGTGCTTCACTCAAAGATTTCCTGCAAATGGCCTACGATTATTTTTGTCCAACGGTAAAATTGAGGCTATCAAGTCGAACATGCAAAACGTGTGGTCTTTATCATGCTTCCGTCAAGTCACTAAATCGTCACATCGAAAATATCCATAAAAAAGTAAACACGCACACTGATAGGAAAGTTAGACCTGTAAGAATCGTTGCTCGTCGTGCTAATGAACTGATGTGCATTATTCAAAATTTAGACTACCATGATGTTGAATGGCTCGATGAGAACGACGTAGACATTCCAAAATCCGATGAAAGCAAGCAAACTCACAACACTGAGCAGCAATCGAAGCAATCCAATGTCATCGAAAACTTAGAATCATGGATTCGAGTTTCATGGACTGAAGAATGTTAATTTGAATTTAATATATGTACCAAAAATTTAAAATAAGTTTGTTATGTTAGTAAGATATACTATTTTTGTCCTTTACTCTATGTTGAATACCGAATCAGTAAAATATAATCTCTATCCTAAATCTATTTTCTTATTTTTCAAACTATAATTATAACGTTGTAATTATAATATTAAGAAAAAACAATATATTAATTGACAAATGTTTACGTAAGCATGGGGGAAGGGGGTAAGAGTTTTGCTTACTTTTGCTGACAAGGGGGTTGGGGGGTAAATAATTGTAATAAATCTGCTTACGTAATACTTGAACGGCCCCTGAGACTGATCTTTTAAATATTATTCAATGCTCTTCTTTGTTCATTACAAAACAAAAGGATCGAGGATTTCCTTGGATTAACTTATAGATTATGATGCGTAGAAAATTTTATCAAGTCGTCAACCCCATGTTGCAAAATTTCTCTAGTTCTCTAGTACGGAAACGTGTTTTTGGTGTTGTACATGTCATATAACATCCAAAAACCTATCATATAATATCTCATTTTCGAAATCTGTCGCCATTACAATACTTCCTTTAGTAACGTAGGCAGTGAAGCTCCCAAAAGGAAATGCAGCCCTTCTATATAGAATAGCCATTTGGAATAAGGAGATGGATTGGAAGAGAGCAGGGTGCAGAAAAAGAAATGTATGGTGTATCTGAAGTCACTTGAAATAGCATAAAAACCTTTGGTCGGCGCGTCCTTTGTAATTTCATGACGTATCATAGGCGTGCGGTGATTTATTTAGAACGATAATAATAATGTTTTTATATCACAATAAATGGATTTTACTATCTTCTTATTTTTTTGATTTGGGATAAAAAATACTTGTATTGGGAGTTTAATTTATGTTGACTGAAAGTTAAGAAATGGAAAAATTACAGAATTCCAACGTTTGACATAGGCAAATATTTACATAGCAGGTAGGTATATAAAAAGGTATATAAAGACTTACATTATAGGTATTTATATATCATCCTCGCCTTCGGAGCTGTCGCTAGAGTCATCTTGTAGAGGAATTACAACGGGATTTACAGGAGGTAAAACACAATATTCATTTTCTTTTTCAATAATATGCCTAGAACACTGCTTCCATAGGTCTGTGGCAGCAATATGAGATACTGCATCTCTTATTGTGGCCAATAGCGATTCACTTAATTGAGGGGTCTGATTATGTTTTCTTACTTTTTTTTTAAAGCAGCCCAGACCAACTCAATCGGGTTAAAAATGCAGTAATAGGGAGGTAGACGTAATACTTCATGGCCATTTTGCTGAAGCAGATTGTCAACAACATACTCTTTTTCAAATTTTTGTCTTTTAATAAGATCCAATAATATGGCTTTGGTTGATTTTTGTGGTATTTCCATTCCCTTATCCTTCATAAAATCAATAATGTCTTGTTTTTTGTGCCTGTATTCGGAATTTTGTTTTTCTGTCGGGAATGGTATGGCGCATTGTCCATAATAATCACTGAATTTGGGGAAATGTTTGGTATTAACTGCTGCTCTATCCACTTTTCAAATAAGTCGGAGGTCATGTCCTCATGATAGTCGGCACATGATTCTTTGATACTTTTGGCAGATAACAGCAAGGCATTAGGTATAAATCCATTTTCACTGCCAGCATGGAGAATAATGATTCGTTTTCCACGGTTGCATGGTGCATTTAAAATGCACTTGTTGCTGTCGTCAACCCAGCCGTACTGCACAACATCATGGGTATCATACCACGTTTTATCCAGGTAAATCAGATTTCTTTTCTGCTCTCTATGGATTTTAACTTTGTGCAAAAATTCTTGGCGCAATTCAACGATTCGAGACGACTCCATAATCACCATTCTTTTATCTAATTTTTTGTATTGAAAACCACACAGTTTTACAATACAGTGCAGTGAGTCTAAGCATTTGTAATTATAAAAATCTTCAGGATAATCTTTTAATTTATCCCGTATCATTTCCAACGTGGGCACAAAATTTTCTTTATAAAATCCGTATATTATACGACGAATATCTTCCTGAAAACGCACGTCTATTCTTTTTAATTTTTGCCCTATGCGCTTTCTGTGGAAGGAATGGTTGACTACATCTCCCCTTTTTATAACCCGATAAATGGTAGACCGACTGATTTTTGTCAGGATACAAATTCTGTTTAAAATTTGATCTTGCGAGGAATCTGGATTTTCGTTTTTCAGACAATCATACATATTTAGGATTATTCTTTGGGTCTGTTCCTCTAAATCTTTATGAAAGAATTCTGCCTGCACAGGTTCATCAACCATCTCCTCGCGGCTTGGAGCATTTTCCCCAAGGTCTCCAAAGAGCCATATTTAGGACACACAAGAACAATCAACACAACAATTAAATCAACAAGTAAACTGAGTATTCAAAAGTCAAAAACACACAAACTAATAAAATCTATGAAAAAACACGGACAGACTAAAGAAAACACGTTTATTCACCGCTACACGGCACTGGCTAAACTGTTTCAATTTTCAGTAGCCACCTGCACTTGTTCCGAGCTCTGAAATACACGCTTTCTCATTGGCTATGTCCACGCATAGGCGTGCTTTACTCCACGTGGACCGGTGAAACTGCCTTTGATCTCTTATACGGGGGGATATTTGCTGCGAAATTTGGCGATTTTTGCAGCAACAGAGCGTGTTAAATATAGATATATAAAACGCACCCGGTATTTCACACTGTTTCAAGTGACTTCAGATAAAGTATACCTCTGCCATCTTTAGGACATTATCTTTTATTCCGTTTGTGGATGGCCATTGTAATCGAACCAGGATCGATCAAATCCCGCTAACTTTGTGACATAACTTAATCCCGATGACGTATCGGAGGGTGTGTAAAAATCGTTAATGAACCTATAAAACGTAGAAGTTGCATTGTCCCACAGTCGCAGTGGGTACAAATATTGGCACGTTAATCCTGAAACAGCGACCGACCAGGGGTAATCCGGTGACAGCGACACAACGAAATTAAAAACTGCCCCCACCACCCTCACAGCCGCCCGTGATCCGATTTTAATGAAATTATTTTGGCGGACTGGATAAGATTACTACATCCCGCAATGTATATAGTACAGTCAGATGTACGTAGCATGAAACAGTTCCATCTCTACCAATATGGCAAATGAGAAAGTGTTACTCAGTTACGTATTACGTATCTTGAAAAGTGACAATATGTCGATTTTTGTTGACATTATATTGGTTTTTTGTTTCATTGTGTAGGTTTTTATACAAGATGTTAACTTAGTACTAGCTGATGGCCACTTTGTGAACTGTTTTTGTAGTTGTACGTGTTGCCGAAACGTCACGAGGCTTCAGTTATCAATTTTTGGCCCTGATGTGATGTAAAATCGGCTTCAGAGATGGCATTACTGGAGGTAACGGCAATGCATAGGTGCACAATGCGGACTTGTGTGCTAATAAATATTATGTGTTGATGATAATTCCATTGGATTCATGTTTCAAATACACTTACAGTATATTCAGATAAGAGATAGACCGGATGTAAACAAAAGGTTCGGGTGATTTTCACGCTAACGCCGCCGTCTCGACGTAAAACAGGAGCCCTCATTGGTCAATTCGCAATTAAATGCCTATGCCGAGCGGCAGAGCAGTCGTATCAAGGCAGAGTCACATTCAGGTTCAGACGTGTTACGTATGTCGTGTGCATCATTGCAATTTGATATTTCTTTGGACGTTTTCGTTTGTTATCTTATTAAGTTGTTGAGTTTGTCGTTGTTATTGTTATACCTTGTTATTGATTGTTATTGTTATCAACTGCTTGCGCAAAATGCCCAGTAGTAGAGGAAGTGGTCCGAATATGAGCCCTGCACTTATTATGGGCCCCCAATATATTTCAACTAGAGCACGTCGCGACATCTATGAATTTCGTACTAAAATACTTCTACTAGACCCCCAAACATTTTTCTGTTTATGCACGCAGTCTCGTGTGTATCTCTATAGTATCAGGTGACATAAGTTTATTTGTGTAGTTCAACAAATATTTTACGGTAAGTGTTTTTGTGCTATTTATTAACGTTTATGTTTAAAACTGGTGAGTTGATGTGTTAGTATGTTAGAATAGTGATCAGTATTTGATATCCCAACATAAAAACTAACCTAATAATGGATTGAGAAGAAATTGAATGCTTTTAAATATTCAGATGGAATGTTGCTAATATGGGCCCCTACCGTGGTCCTATTATGGGACAGGGCTCATATTCGGACCAAGTCTTAATAAAGTTGTTTTTGCAGTTCATTATGCCACGAAGCAAGGCGAAGTTTATTTCAAAGAACTTAAGACAAACATGGAGACGTGAAGATATGGTTAAGGCTATGGACGGTGTTAATAACAAAATAATGGGTCTTAAAACTGCAAGCAAACAGTTCAGCGTGCCACGATCTACACTTCAAAGACTGTTAAAAAAACAAAAGGAAGGTAACTTAAATATTAGTGACGTAGTTAAAACTCAACTAGGAAGAAAGACAACATTAGGAAAAGAACTGGAGGAAGAACTTGTTCAATATGTTTTGTCCATGGAAGCTACTTACTATGGTCTCACAAGAAAGGACATTAGAAAAATGGCATATGTCTTAGCTGTTTGTAATGGAATAGCTCATCCATTTAAAAATGGTGTGGCGGGGAGAAGCTGGTTGGATGCATTTTTACTACGTCACAAAAGTGTACTTTCTATTCGAAGACCAACAGGAACTTCCTTCGCTAGAGCATTAGGCTTCAATAAGGAAAATGTGGAGCAATTTTTTGACAATTTGCAGAGTGAATACTCAAAAAATAACTTTTCGCCTCACCAAATTTACAATGTAGATGAGACTGGGCTTTCAGTTGTTCAAAGTAAGGTGGCATCAGTGGTGGGAAGAAAAGGAAAACGGCAAATTGCTTCAATTACCTCAGCCGAACGGGGTTCACTAGTTACGTTTATAGCTGCAATGAGCGCTGGAGGTCAATTTGTACCGCCCATGTTAATTTTCCCGAGAAAAAATCGCAACGAACAGCTGATGCGAGGGGCTCCTCCAGGTTCAATCTATGCAGTACATCCAAGTGGGTGGGTGCAACAGAATTTGTTTTCCGATTGGATGAGGCATTTCATAAAATTTGTTAAACCAACAAAAGAATGTCCAGTTCTGCTAGTGTTAGATGGCCATTATAGCCACACACGAAACTTAGAAGTAATTCGACTAGCTCGTGAAAATCATATTTCCATTATCTCTTTGCCGCCTCACTCAACTCATAAATTACAACCCCTTGATAAAACATTCATGGGAAGTTTCAAGGCTTATTACAGTGAGGAAATTAGAAATTGGCTTCGTGTTAACCAACGAGCCCTCACACAGTTTGACTTGGCAGAACTTTTAGGTAAAGCCTTTTTAAAATCACAGTGTGCCGAAATAGCTGCTAGTGGTTTTAGGGCGACGGGAATATATCCGTTCAACCGTCACATTTTTTCTGAAGCAGATTTTATATCTGAACGAATTCAGGCTGAGAAAAACTGCAACATTTTTCCTCAAGCGCAGCCTGTCACAACAGAACCCCAGCATGGTACCCCAGAACCTCAGCCAGGATGTTCTCTTTGGGACGATACAGCTAAATTACAATCCCAGGCAACATCGTCGCCGTCAAATTCCAATTTCTCTAGACCATCTGTTCCAGGAAAGGAAAATTCCGTTAAATTGGTCTCACCATTTGACATTTCACCTGTACCTTCTGTCACAAAGAAAAATACCACTCGGGGAAGAAAATCAACTAAATCGCAAGTGATCACCTCTTCCCCCTACAAGGATGAGTTAGAGAAATCCTGCACCAACACGCCTAAGAAAGCAAGCACCAAACGACAAGTCTTTTTAAAATCAAAAGCAAAGAAGACAACTAACAAAAAAAGACAGCAAGCAAAAGACAATAAAGTCAACGACTCTGAGGATGAAAGTCACGAGTTTGTCCCAGACGATGAAGATATGGATATCGACGAAATTGGCAAATCTGTTCCTGATGACTGTGATACAGCATGCCTATTTTGTGATGGTTGCTTTTCCGATGACCAGAGAGGAGAGCTATGGATTCAATGCTTCATGTGCAATCAATGGGCTCACGAACAATGTTCAGGTGCCGAAAAAGATGCATATATTTGTGACTTTTGCGTGTAATATTTAGTTTTTAAGTTGAAATGTATTTTCATTTTCATTTTCAGTTTTTTTTATTTGAAAAATATATGTTTTTTCAAATTGTTAGATACCTGTCAATTATTTTACTAGGGGGCCCATATTCCACGCAGTCTAATCCAAAAGTAGATCTGTACATAATTTAAGTGTTGACACAAATTCGACCTAAATTTAATTTTTTTGATAATGCCTTTTTAATATACCATAAGGTAAACCTTTGAGCGTGCAGTGTGTAATTTACTGATATTTATTCGTAAGTTTCCAAAATTTATAAAAAAAAAACAAATGGGGGGCTCATATTCGGACCACTTCCTCTACAGATACTGCCGATGAAGTTGTAAACTCCTGTAGTCCACCTAGGAAACGCTCTAAAAAAAGACACCTGAGTGCAGAAATGAAAGAGGTCATTTTGAATATATATAAGATCGAGCGCGAGGAGAACGAGGCATCAACCATCAAAGAAATTGTTGTGAAGGTTTCTCACAAAGTTGGGGTGTGTCGCGCATCAGTGTTTAATGTGTTAAGACAATACAAAAAAGATCACACCTTTTCTGAGCCAATGACCAGTAAACATCGCAAAAGTATTGTTAAATCATAGGATGAAGCTGATAAGCATGCGATTAGGAGGAAAGTGCATGAATTCTTCTTTAGGTATGAAATACCTACTATAGATAAAGTACTGCAGGAGGTAAATGGAGATACAACGTTGCCAAATTTCAAACGATCAACTTTCCATGCGTTACTGAAGCATTTAAATTTCAAATGGAAAAAACGGGGTCGTAATAGTTTACTACTGGATAGAGAAGAAATTGTGCTATGGAGGAGGGATTATTTAACAAAAATTGGGAAATATAGACATCAAAACAGGAAGATTTATCACCTTGATGAAACGTGGGTAAACGCAGGACACACTACAAGTAAAGTATGGGTTGATGATTCTGTAACTTCATCCAGGAGGGCCTTTCTAGATGGACTGTCCACCGGATTAAAAAATCCAGCAGGTAAATACGAGTAATAGACAACAATCGGATGTTTTTCAAACCTTGGGAACAAGGTTCTAAACATTAATTCCAGGGGGCAGATAAAACATATTACAAGTAACAAAAATTTTATAACTTTCGATAAAATGCGTGGATGTTTTATTGTCATTTTCATTTTTTAAGCCATGTTTTTATGTGTTTTCGATATTTCAATAATTTTTTAATATAATCTTAAAGTTTGTCGAATATTATAAACTTAAAAAAAGTTACTAAGTTTTATATTGTGTACCGGTCCTAATATTTCTAATCATTTTAATTCATACTTTAAGCTTTATAAAGTTATAATTTGTTAATATTAATATTTGCGCGTATTTCAGGTTCCTGATCATTCATTTTTTAAAGGTTTATAACTTTAAATTAAATTGTGAAGCGCTGAGTAATCATACGACGTTCAATATTCTTTCTTTCAGTATGACTAAATAATCCCAATTATAGCAATCTGATACTCATGTCTCAATGTTTTTTCGCTGAATGTGATGAAAACATTTGAAAAAGGTTCGCTTATTGAAATAAATCTACACCAGTTAGTACTTCGATTTCCAGGTAAAGGGAAAAGGCTCATTATCTGCCATATTGGCAGTGAGGATGGATTTGTTGTTGACGGTCTGTGGTGCTTTGAGTCTAAGAAAACTGGAGATTACCACGAGGAAATGAATGGCGAATCGTTTGAACAGTGGTTTTCAAAAATTTTACCGAACTTAGAGGAAAACGCAGTAACTGTGTTGGATTATGCGCCTTACCATTCTCGAAGAATGGAGAAGGTCCCAACAACGGCTTCAAGGAAAGTTGATGTTCAAAATTGGCTCCGATCGAAAAATATCAACTTTGAAGAAGCAATGCTGAAAGTACAATTATTAAGAATTGTCAAGGATCACATGGCGGAATATCAAAAATACGCCATTGACGAAATGGCAGCAAGTCAAAATAAAACTGTGCTCCGTTTACCTCCATACCATTGCGAGCTCAATCCCATTGAGCTCATATGGGCAGAGGTTAAAAATTATATAGCTAAGCACAATACAACTTTTAAATTTTGTGACCTCAAAGGACTTTTCAAAGAAGCACTAGAATTAATAACAGCGCAAAAATGGGAAAACTGTATTAAGCACGTGAAAGACAAAGTTGAAAAGAGAATGTGGGAACTGGACAATATTTTAGAGGAACAAGTCGAGCCATTCATTATTGACGTTGGTGCTTCAGGCAGAAGCGATGATGAAAGCTCATCAAGCTCATCTTTCCAATAAAAGATGTCGTTCATCAAATTCGGTAAGTTATAAGTAATTATAAAGCTAATTAATTATTGACATTTTTGAACCCATTTTGGCAAAACCTATTCAAGAATCTACTTTCTGACAATGTTCAACCCTGCACATTTTTTTACGTTTTGAACGTTTTAATTTGGTTACATATTTACCTAGAAATCAAAAAATATACTAATCAATATTCTAAAAGCTATTTTAAGAGATATATGATTATTTTTAATTTAGGCTAATTTAAACGCCATTTTGAGATTATATTCGACTGTATTTCACCAAACATCAGGCGGCATCCGAAGCTGGAAATCGAAGCGAAAATTTTGAAACCCTTATGTATATTTACATCATTATATATTTCTTACCCCACCCCCACATGATCCTATATCCATCACCAATCGTATACACATCGAATTGTGCTAATTTACTACAAAGTTACGCAAAGCAGCATCTACTATCTAAAATATGTACTGCGTGACTCTTAATACGTCCCTGCCGAATGTTACAGCGTTCGATGGTCACGTGGTCTTGTTTATGTCCGGTCTGTCTCTTATCTGAATATACTGTAGGTACTAGAGAGGCAAAGCTAGAATTAGTTGCGCATGCACTTTTTCTTATCCGTTCTGGAAATTACATATAAACATTTGCCGAATTTAACACTGCGGAATTACAAGATATATATATGCTCACAGTAATTACACACAACGCAGGCGCGGTGGTGATGTCCCGTAACTCTCCTAAAAGTTGTTGACACAAAAAAACGTAAAAAATCGTACTTTATAACTTTGAGCATAACCTGACTTCAGAAAGGACAACATATAAATAACCCGTCGCGTCGGGCACAGCTAATAGATATACTTCGATGGCAGCATATTCAGTAATTATTTTCTCACACAGCAAATGTACATAAATACACACAATCATCCAAATATGACCTTGCTATTCAACCAAGTTTCTTCTCAGAGACGAAGACTATATACTTCTCGGCTTCACAAAACATATGCAACCAACAATGCATGTAAGCGTGGAGTTGAGACGTTCGTCCATACATAGGCGCTCACAACCATCCTAGTTCAACCCTGAAAACTACCTAGTCTGCAAGATGACATTTTATATGTTTTTTGACGTTTTATAGGTTTTTTACATCGACCCCTGCAACGAAGACTATAGTAACTCAAAAACGCTTGCTTTTGACCTACTATACGGAAGAATATGGTATCTCAGCCATGCAACTATAGGCAACCAATAAATCTTCTACGTCATATAGTAAGTATAAACAGTGGCGGTTGCTCCCGCCAAATCTTCGATACAAAAAATCACGGAAAACCTAACTTACTGTTAAACCTTCTGTCTGAATTACTATACTTTTCGCGGCATATTTTGAGGTTACGGTAATTAATATCGAAAACGTTTCAAATATTGGCTGTATAAAAAGAGCAGTTTTCAAAGTGAAATAAAATGAATTCAAGAACCAAAATAATTCTGGCAGATGCAAAGAAGCTCAGTGCAGTTGCTGAACCGTTAAATTCAGGCAAGTTTGGTTCATACATAGTGATGACTTCTTTTAACACAAGAAAAAGGTCCAAACAAAGCATCCTCTTCTTCTGCACGTTATGCATTGGGATCTGTCGCATCCCCAGAATTCAACTACTACAGTCCTCCGTTTTGCTAAGACGACACTCACGTGTTTGCTTTTCATTCGTTTATCTCCACGTCTGTACCTGAAACAGACCTACATTACAGACCTATATCGTACTGATGAAGGCTAAAGAGTCATGTCTGCGGTTGGTCGTGAATCCATTAGTTTTAAATAAAAGGTAAAATCGAAAAATTGGAACAAAGACGATTGCGGAGAAAAGCTGAAAATGAATAAGATGAGAGTCTCGTGAAATGAAATATAAGTGTGACTACATTGATTATTTATCAGAGAATGAGACCGCAAAACAATACGCTTCAGGAACTACCTTTTCTCTACACAGGCTTGCTTCCAGTAGATGCTAGAAAATTAAATGGTATTAGACCTATGTAAATCAAAAGCAAACAGTCTTCCCAGCAGTCCTGGGACTTACCTGCTTTTCATTTTTCTCTAAAAGCCAAGGAAGATAAAAAAATACAAAAAGGACATAATATTAACAGTGCTGAAAATACAGAAGTTGAGAACGATGATACTGGAGAACAGGAAGATGAATATAATTTGAGTGACTCAGATTGGCATTAAAGAGGTCTTTTTCGACCATTTGTTTTAAAAATACTGTAATATATCAATAAATATCCTACTAAGTCTAGAGAAAGTGTACTTTTTTCTTTAGTTGATCCAATGAAAACTATAGTAAGTCAGCAAAATTTATAAAAAATTGTCATTTTCGCTAGGCTTGTATAATAATACCATTTATAACCTTCTATATACAAGAATTACTGCAATGTGCAACATATTTTTGATGAGATTGACATCTTTCTGGCAACGATAACCATCAGAAAATCTTCTAATGCCTATATCTCAGTTCAACCAAAACTGAGTCGATAGTCTTCCTTGCAGGGGTCGACATAATACTCGTGCGCATCTGGATGATCTTTGGTACAGATTGGTGCATATATATATATATATATATATATATATAACTTGAGACGTGGTCATTGTCGTTGAGACCAGTTAGGTGAAAAATAAAGCTTCCACCTTTTGTTGGGTAC